GAAGGAGGGCAAGAAGAGCAGAAACTGGGTCCCAATCCTGCCTCCCGAAAACGCTCCCGCCCTCGCGTAAAGCCAGCCACCCTTCTGCCCAGGCCAATCTTCTGTGCTAGTTAAGGCTGGCGCACGCTCTAGCAATCAATCGGGGGCATCGGCAGATTATTAAATATTTCTCAATCGGCCTGATTCTTTCTGGCAGACTCAGGCCGCTCTCCATTTCTGCAGTGTATTTTTAGGGAGGAAAGGGGGAAAGGGGGAAATGCGCCCTTTGTCTCTCTCAGCTAGGACAGCCACAGGTAAAGCGCTTAGACGCCGGCGAAGAAATGGAGAACTAGCTTTCCCAGGGGAGCGAGCGTGGCTCCTTTGTTCACCAAACCCTGGCTAAGGGTTACTTCAGTTAGCAACAGCCCGTTTCCACGTTAGTGCAAACTATTTGGGACTTTGTCAAAGTTTGTTTTGTGGAAGGCAGCTCCTTTAGCTAGAGGCTCAATGGGTACTCACTAGAATGCGTAGAAAGCGCCCCCCCTTCTTTCCCAGTCCTTTTCAGGAAAAACGTGAATAGTTGTTGTCAAAGTGGACGAGGCTGAAAAAAGGGGTCCAAAAAGAAAAGGGGAAAAAAGCCTTGAAAAGTCTTGGAAATGGGTAGGTTTTGCAGGTGTAGAATGAAGCTAATAACCATGCACAGTGTGCGCTCCCCCAGTGTGGAGAGTGTGACAGGGACAGCTGGCTCCGTTTTCCCTGTGAAAACCCCCCCTTGGTGGACCATACACAACGACAGTGACCTTTCGGCAGGGGAACCAGAGCCGACCCTTTGACTGAATTAGTCACAAAGACGTCTTGCTATGACTTTTGTTCCTCGCCACAGCCAAGAAATATTGCGTTAAATATGAGAAGGATTGTCTCCAGCTTTCTTGTGCTCCTTCAGGAAATATGGCCAGACTGATTTAAGGGGGCTCGTTTCTCTTCGCCGCGGTCTTTCATTCCTCTCCCCGCTATTCCACCCCCCACCCAACGACCTGGGGATGAGGAGGTGCGCTTTTTACAGCGTGTCTCCTTCCAAAGAGGAGCGCTGACTCTGGGTGCAACAGCGGCGAATTTATCAATCTTTTCAGGATCTGACAATACTTGGAAATACATCATTGTCACTGGGGTGGTTTGATAGATTAGCTGGAGGCGCCGAGCCTTTCCAAGGTCAAGTTGAAGATTCTCATTTGGTGTTTAACTGAAGTTTTTTGAAGGGCTAGACAATGGCTGCCTGTTAACTTGCCCCTTGTTCTGGAGAGGAATCCCCTTAAATTCTCTTTTTAACTGATATCACTTCCGGACAAACAGAAGTGTGATTTTCCTATTCTTGGGATATTTGTTGTTTTTGTCTCTTTTATGCGCTTTTTCATAAGAGCAGATGATAATGAATTACACAAAATCTAAAGAGCCGAGAAAAGTTCTTGGGGACGAGAATGCACTTTTGTGGTTCTGCCGGATGCCCGCTTTATCCTCTTTCGTTTCTCAATGCACATTTAGTGGTTTTCTCTTCTTCGTGTTTTGATGCTTTCTCTTTTTCCACGAGTTGGAAACCCCCAAAAGGTTTGTTTGTGGCAGGCTTCCTTGTTTTAAACTAGCCTTGAACCTGTTGTCAAAGTCCCTTTGAACTTCCTTTCGCTGGGCTAAATATTTTCTTTTGCCTCTTTACAGATGTCTGCGCTAGTCTGGGTTGCACCCGCCGTTTCCTCTTCCTTTCGCTCTGAGATGATTGATATTTGTTATTCAATCCAACTTTTATTTACCTTGCAAAAAAAAAATGTTGGAGGGTTCCGATGTGATAAATTGCAGATATGCAAATCACATTGAATGGTCTTGTAAGTGTGTCTCGCTAGAGCTGAATGAGGCCTTGCAAGCCGGTCTGTGCGCGCTCAGGACCCCAGGGAGCTGATCAAAGCACCCATTCTCTTTCATCCCCGTTATTCTCCTCCAAACTATTTCGATACAATATGTTTCCATGATGCCCTTAATGGGCTTGGGACACAGAACTCATTACAACCTAGCTAGTTTTGCCGACCTCTTTGTTCAGAGGCAGAAAGTTAAAGAGAGAGAAAGAGGGGAAAAAGGGGGCGGTGGGAGGGAGGGAGGGAGGAGGGAAGGGGGAGGGAAAAACTTGCTACTTGCCAGCTTTCTAAAATACTAAAGTATGTGTCATTTTTCACTGGATCTCTTCTTCATCTCTTCAAAAGAAAAGCTATGAAACCATCCTGCCTTTTCTAGCATAAATTTCACTGCTGTCCAAACATTTCTCTGCAAGATAACTTTTCTGCTTTTGCAAGGCAACTTATTTTCTTAACCATGAATGTGTTTTTGTTAATATGGGGGAAATGGAAATGAATTGGGCTATTTCTATTACTCACTTTATTTAAATACTGGTATCATAGAAATCTGTAACTCTGCAGGCATGTTACACCAAACATATTCCCGAAATTAGTTTTGCATAGATTAATGTTTATTTCAGAAACAGATTTTGGATGAAAATGAAAAACTTGTTTAAAAATTTTCACCAATTCCAAACCACCCTTTCCCCAAATTTGTTGCGGTGCTCAAACTACATCAGAATACAGTAAGGATGTCAGGAAAGAAGTTTTGGTCCCAAAATGCAATTTTGTTCTTCATATAGTGGTAAAGCAACACATAATTTGCAAATATGAGGCCAACATGGTAAAACTCAAAACAGTTCATATACATTTTCAGTTCAACTGACATTTATTCAATCATAATCTTTTCAATAGATGAATTCAGCTTAAAAGTGCAAAGGTCCCATCAGCTACTAGCCAAAGAGAAGTAGAAAATTCTAGCTCTCTGTCACCATCTAGTGGTTGCTTGGATTTCTGCAACCCAGATGTGGTAGCTCTAAAAGCAAAGGTGATTCACACAAATGTGAGTAGGACTTTCCAAAAGTATAAACTGATCTTAAATAAGCTTAAAAGAAAGTTTGAAAAGCAGGAAGATAATCCAGACCAGAGTCTTTGCAGCCTGACTGGCAATTCATATTACATTTCAGAAATTAGAAAGCAGAGAAAGAGAAGAAAGAGGCTGCAGAAGAGAGCAAGAAGGGAATTTTCTTGAATTTCCTTCCCTCACTCATTCTCTCACTTGGATTGCCGATCTTTTGGGTGAGGACTTTGAAACTTCAGATTTAATGCTGAGCAAAGTCAGAATCTGGGTGTCCTTTGATGGCCCTGTAGTGGAGCAACCACATGTTTGGGCAGCTTTGCTGCTTGTGCCTCTCAAAGGAAACTCATCATCTCTATTTCTCTGATAGGAACTGCGAGGAGCGAGTACATTTGTTTCTGGGTTGATTTGTTGATGGAAAATGGCTGGCAGCCAGTTCTGGGAACGATTCCAGCCCTGACTCCGATTAACCCTCTCTGGTGAAACTCTGCTGGAAACCAACTCACCAGCCATTGCCATTAATCTACTTACTAATTAAGCCAATTCATTTCTAAAGGAGGAAAAATGCCTTTCTTTGGCCCAAGTAATGGGAGGAAATTTGAAAGAAGCGCCAAACTGTGTAACTGTAATTCAGGCAGGAGAATTGCTAAAACAAGCTTGTTGATATATAGCAGGAGGTTGAAACCAAGTTTCTAGGGCAACAATCCTTTGGAAATGCCTCTGGCACACAGAGCTGAGCTGAAGCCTGAAGAACGGTAGGGGCTTGCAAAGGGTCATTGTGTGAAAAGGGTGTGGGGGAAAACACTGTCACCCCCCCCCAACTGAGTTTCTGCTCATTTCACTCTTGCATCCTGTCTGGTTGCTATCAGCTTCATTCTAATTGGGTAATCACAAAGAATTTGGAGCTTCAAGCCCAAACCAGACATTTTGTGATCTTGGTGCAACTGGGTTAGAAGTATAAAGCCAATGGCCAATTAGGGCCCAAGAGGCAGTCACTTATCCAAGTACCTCTGTTTTGTTCAGCAACTTTTGCCCCTCATCTTTTACTTGTATTTGTAAGCAATGTAGTTATAGCTCAAAATCACAAGGCGCTCTTGAACTTCATCGTCACTTTGCAAACTTAAGAGCACATTATAATAAATCTTTAGGTTGGAAAGAAGTGCCCAATCAAATTATGGCATGCTTTGTGGGGAGGTTAAATACTAAAACCAGTCCCCCCGCCCCCAAGTTGTTATCTTTTGGATCCGCTAAGAAGAGAATATCACCTGCAGAATAATCAATCATTACCAGAATCTCCAGCTGGAAATTCTGGAAGCTTAACTTCCAACAAATCTAAAGATCAACAGGTTGAGTAAATCTGACCCACAAGCCTACAATCAGTTAGAAAGTCTGTATCAGTTGTTCTTTCCAAGGTTCTCTAAAGCAACACAAAAGGCAGCAGAAAAACAAACCATGAATGAGTTCACCTGACACATTAATCAAAATGAAGCTCCATGAAGCTCCCCTGCTTTAGCACAGGGGACTCCAACTTTGGCAACTTTAAGCCTGGTGGACTTCAACCCCCAGAATTATTTGCTAACTGGGGAATTCTGGGAGTTGAAGTCCACCAGGCTTAAAGTTGCCAAGGTTGGAGACCCTTGCTTTAGCATATTGTCTGAATTTTCTGTAGATTACAGAGCACACTGTAGATTAATGCAGTCTGTGAATCTAAGCCCCACATTGTAAAAATAAATATGCCACAAGCAATATTGTGTGCTGCATGCTGGATCTTGAACCACCTCAACATCACATTTTAGGCTAATATATCTTGAACGGTGTATTTAAAAAAGATTGGACAAAACTATTGTATCTTTAAAGTTCTGCAATTTTCTCTATTTAAAATGATAGCTTTTTTAAAAAAGTCATTTTATTTTGATGGATTGACAGAGCACATTTGCTTTTACTTTCCACAAAGTCTGCATTTGGAGAAATCAAGCTCAGTTTAGGAATTAATTTTTTATTGCATTTTAATGGTAAGTTGTTTGCAGAATAATTCAGAGAGATAAGTTTCTTTATTTAAAGCTTTTATTTATTTTTGAAGCAGGAAAAGCACTCCAATGCTCTTAACAGTTAGAAGCAGTGCTCCAGAAATATCTTGACTTACTTCTATCAATGTGACATTTGGGCAGAAAATGCTCAAGCACTGCTCTCAGGAGCAATGGTTTCTTATTTGGCCATCTGTTTTTGGTTCCTTCTAAGCTTTAGAAAAACTGAAAGCATTCAACCTTTTTGGTACAGACAATTGTTCCAGATATGGTAGAGGATTCCAACCTACATCAGTGTTCAGGGGACACAAGAGGTGAGGATGGTAACCTCGACAGTTCAAGCCTTTCCTCATCTGCAGAAGAAAGAAAGAAAGATGAGAATCACTTGAATGTGTACTCTACCCAGGTCTCTTTGATAGGAAGCAAATAAAATGGTATCTTGGCTTGGCTGATGGATTACAGAAAGGTACGTGTATGACTGTAGCATGTAATAAAAATTTAGCCTGTGAAATGAAGTTATTTTTCAGTGTATAATGTGGGCCAGAAAATTAGGTTATGTCATGAAAGTATAGTCTATGTTTGCATGCTTTGTTTGATTTGGGTTTAATGTTTTTGTGGATCCAGCTAATAAAGTTTTCAACTGTGCTTTATGGCATGCATTTGATTATAGTTAATAATAAACAGTGGCTAGCTGAATCATAGCTTTGTGTTACAATATAAGGAGTCATATTTGGGGTGTTGAGGCCACTTCATCCACCATCACTAAGATTATCTTGTCCTGATTAAAATCTAACTGCTGCATTAAATTTATTGTGGGCCAATGTAGGAAGAAGACATTAAATTCCCAAGGAGGCTAACTCTAGTGAAATACATTTAGTCTACAAAGCATTTGGTACTATAATAACGTTTGGATTGCAAAACAGTCTCTTATGGTTTTGAAAAGACAGCAGCATATATTATGCAAGCTAATTTAACTTTTATTCAGTATGTCTGATCTGTGAACTAAGACTGTGAAGATTTCTGGGATGAAAAAAGTCTCCCTCAATATACTCAATGTCTGTTTATGGTATACTCTAGTATAACCATAGTAAAATCTGTCCCATTTCTAAACATTCAAGTACTGTATTAGTTTGGTTTGGATATTATGGTACTTTATTAAAAACAGGCCAAATTTCTACCACACACTTTTAGGAGAAAACTTGTTGGAGATCATTAACAATTGATTATGCCTATATAGAACATTTGCTTTTGTTTGCATGACACATGGGAATAAAAATGACTTCATAACACTTTAACCTAATGTATGGGATAAACCAAATCTATGTGGTTACATCATGGCTTTCTGTGTTGCATAAACTCAGAATCTTGGCTTAACTGAATAAAACTAGGGTTTGCAAACAAAAAACCAATAATCCACATAAAGTACACAACCTCTCAATTTTATTACTAAGAAAGATTTTTCTGAGTGCCATTGTTGGACCAATGGATGCCAATACTTTTGAGTAGTTCAGAAAGGAGAAATCATTTCACTTGATAACTAATTATAAACAAAAGGTTTGGATTGATGTGAATTCTATAATTAATTGGACTCTAAAGCATAACACACAAATTCACTGCTCAGACCTGCACTGGCTCCCTGTAAATGTGTCATAGGTATCTACTATATATTTTTTTCCACTTTGAAACCCATTAGTGGTCTACCCATTTCTTGTACATACTTGTCTATTGGCAGACCAGCAAACACAATTTGAATCTTCAGTTAGAATTACTTTTCTAATGCAAAGTGTATGTTTTTAATAACTTTAAAGCATGAACTACTAATACTATACTAATAATGTAGCTGTATCCTGATGTGTTAAATTACCCTAAAGGGGATGGGGAGGAGAGGAAGGCAGACAAAGTCCCCAATTCAGCTTATTGTTAAGTATAATTTTGAACCCAGGGATTTCTACAAAATCTAGCACTTTCATTCATTATAGCATACTATTTCTTACCCTGAAATACAGCTTCCTGAATTGGAGAACCAGTGAAATTTCCAGAAAAATGTGTAAAGGAGGAAAAACACTAGCTACAAACTTATACATATCTATTAAGTAAAATAATCCATAAGAGATTGTATGATTATGAGGCTAAAAAACTTTGGTTGCACTCTTATATCCAGTTTTCTGACGTTAAAACTATTTGAGTTCAGTGGGGCTTATTTTGGAATAGATATGTATAAGATTGTAGCTAGTGTTTTTCCTCCTTTACACATTTTTCTGGAAATTTCACTGGGCTTTAGAACACCTGAGTAAATGCACATAAGATCATGATATAACTGTGAACCAGATTCACATGTAAGAGAAAAAACTTAGATCCATTTTTGAGTGACTTTAACTTAATGGGTCTTTCCATACATGCCATGTGCTACAATGTCTATACATAGTATGGGGAGTGCAAGGTTTTTTTTAAAAAAAGCACTCCTTGAAAAGAGGTGAAGTGGTTTGCAACAACAGACTACTTGATGTAGAACACAGTGAAATTAGGGAGGCCGTCTTTTACTAACAGGCTTCCTGTACGGCTTAAGAGTTTTGTGAAAGACAGAAGTTCAGCAGGTGCAGCCTCCCTCCCCCCCCAACCCCATGCTCCTCCTGGCTGGGAAAAATTACACTTGTTGAACTTCTGCCAGATGCAGCTGTTCAAGGCACAGAAACTTCTGTCAGGACAAAACGGTGGCATCTCCATTGTGGATCCCCATTAGCCGAGAATTCTCAGGCAGAGGGGAAAGCCCCCCAAAAGGCTCGGATGCTCTCCTTTCATACACAGCATTCATTTACATGTAAGCTTCTATTCCAGCTGCTGTGCAAACGTCTTATTGTTCACACCCAGGTTGCTCTTGTGTGGAAAGTGACGTCTTCAAGCTTAGCAGTTAATCAGGTGACGTCACCAACGCAGCTTTTAGTGAAATACTGCTGTCCTGTTCAAAACCTTCCGAAGTTTGGGAAGCAGGTGCGCAGACATCTGTGAGAGCATTTCTATAAATAAATACTCTCCATTTCCACATAGTGGAAAGAAAGTAGTGACAGCAAACCTCTAATTCTTTGGCAGGAAAAGCAGAGAAGAGAAGTCAGCCAAGTGTCTGGTTCAAAGATCATGCACTTCTACTTAAATATCACTTGTCCCTTTCTATCTGGAACATGAGTCCTCTGTTTTGGAAATTTTAGAATATACATCTACTGGAAAAATAAGGTTTTATACACAGACAGACAGACAGACAGACAGACACTCACACACACACACACACACAGAGTGGGGAGGGAGAGAGAAGGAGGGAGGGAGGGAGAGTGGAGAGAGAGGAAAGGAGGAAGGGAGGGAGGGAGGGAGAGAGAGAGAGAGAAAGAGAGAGGAGAGAGAGACAGAAGCACCCAAGCATAAAGCTTCAATGCATTCCAACTGAAATTTAGAAATGTAAAATTATTCAGATAGGGACCTCCATTGGAATGCAATGGATTTGTTTTATATTGTCTGAATATTTAAAAAAGCTTTTTTGCATAAAAATATCTGGGAAAGAATAGGGAGAAGATGGTAATAGGGAAATAATTAAAAATCCATCTAATTGTAACTAATTATCATTTACAAATACTAGGAAATTAAACAGAAATGCATTTAAGTATCTATTTATAAACTATCTCTTGCTAAGAAAATATGAGTTTTATGTTGATCTGAAGCACCAGCTAGCACAGAGTTAATTATCATTAAAAGAAAAGTTCAAACAAGGGCTTTGCAAAACCAGCATAAAAATTGATATCCCAAATGTTTGGATGTCAACATGAAATTGAGTGTGACAACAAGAGGATAAGAGTTAACACAAAAACAAGAGGATAAGAGTTAACACAAAGAAGAAAAGTTTGCTTCTTTCTTTTCTTCAAGCCTATCTCAGGTTTCATAGCAAAAATTGGATGCAAATATCCTAAAAAAAGACTAATGACATTTCACAGGTAATGCAATTTAGAAAGAAACATTTCCATGTTTTCTTTTCCAACAATGTGCATTTTTGTAAACTGCTATAAATTGCAATTCAAAAGCCCTGATCTTCCCATCCCCAATCATTTTTTATACTGATCAAATGAATGCAGATACTCTCATTTGGGAGGGGCAACATGACATTTCACTTGGCAGTTCTAAACAGGTCACGGACCTTTCACAGACCCTAAGGCAGTGGGAGGGAGTGCTTTACGAAACCGTGTAACCAAATCAAACCAATGGTTACCCCCTTTCAATTCCACTGGAGTGGCTTGCACAATGCTTATTCACATAGCAGCAGAGGAACTGAAAGGATGGTCATCCAATGGAAATGTCTTTTCCTTTGTTTGATCTTAACAGAGCTTCAAAATAGTAGAAAACCATTACATCTAGTGACAACAAAACCGCACACAAACCCGGTACACATCTTTGAGAAGGTGGATACATTAGCGAGGGTAGTGAGCTTCAATGCTTAAAAACAGTTATGCAGGCTATATGGAATTAAATATGGACATTTATGGGAGATGTTGCTTTGTTTGAAGCCATGAACACAAAGACACAACATGGCTGCCCTGGAGATGACCTATTGCTTTCAAGTTGCTTGAGCACATCAGAATTTCCATTGTTAAGGTTGATTAATTGAAACTGATAAGTTACCATGAATAAAGATTGTTTTTCTGTTTAATGTGGTGGGCCTGATTTGGTAAATGCTTCATTCATGTAGCCTTGCAGTGCAGCATATGGGCAAGATTCATTCAGTATCACAAACATACAGAATTTATTATGCTTGTATGGTCACAGCCAAAAGGCCTTTCTAGTTTAATGTCAAAGTCTGAATGAAAAATTCCATTTAAAGTGTCACTAGTAATGTTGCATCTGAGTTTTGTCCTTCAGACTGGCTCTTTAGTTTCAAATTCAAAAATCGTACATTAAAAAGCTAAATTCAACAACAAAGTAGATGAGAGAGGTAAGGAGACATCGGCTTTCTTTCAAAACAGACAAGCAATTTATCTGAAATGCTTGTAGACACCTATGACAAAGGCACATGTTATGGTCTGGTGCCGCCCTATGTCACACACTGCTGATAAAGTTATCACCATAATGTTTCAATAAGATACTGTCACCCCAGTTCTAAGGATCTGACATTCCTGTGTCTTTTTGCTGGAAGAAAAAGTCAAGTTTTCATAATAAATGTGTTCTTTTAGAAAGAGAAAATCAGAAACCAAAACTCTATAAATTATTTTATTGCAATAGTATTGTCATGGCCTGGCAGATATTGCATATTCTTTGAAGTTTAACTGGTTTAAATAGTTCCTTTAACAATTAAAAGGTGTTTTACTTAAAAAAATAAACTAATCAGCCAATGGTTGCATCACTGATACAAAATAATAAAATAAAATTAAAATTGGTTCAGCTTCATATTAAATTGCAGAACCTTTAGTAATTTTGGGATTGGACAGCAGATACATTTGTAACAACAAGAAACATAATTGTTGTTCCTATGATCTTAGAAAAACTACTGTCAGAGTTTATGGACTCATTGCTGGAAGTACCGTATTTTCTTAGCAGATGTTGAACTGATATGGTTAACAATACAAAAAGCAGGCTTGCGGTTCTGTACTGACTTGCACTCTTTCGTGACCTCAAATGAGTGAAGCCAAAAATGAACTTTTTTTCCTATTGCATTTTCAGGTTTGAGAGGGTTTAATGTTTTTCACACTGGCCAATCAGATGGTTCTGAGATGTTCAAAAGCAGGAAATAGAAATTCGCTGGCTATTGTTCTTTTGCAATTTGAATTTGGAATCATTTTTGTTCCAACCCTGAAATACCATTTAATCTTCAAAACTACAAGACCCCTGAGTGATCTTTCCTCCATAAAAAGCTTTTAAAATTTTCCAGGTTAGTGGAGATCACTCAGTTCACTGCTAATAATTTCCACAGATTAATTATGCACTGTATGATGGTGAATTGTCTTTTGTCTGTTTTAAATGTCTTTCCCAATAGATGACTTTTGATTCTTAGGCTTGAGAAAAGGAGGAAAACTTTGTTGCATCTATTTTTTTCCTGATGACGCTGGGGTGACCATAGTGGATCTGAAGAAGGTGGTGAGAGATGGAGGGGCTTGGAGAGTGCTGATCCATAGAGCACAAAGATCGGACACGACTGAATGGCTGATGACAGCATGGTTGATATATCTTGACCATTTTCCTCTTGCCCCTCTTTTTTTCTAAACTAAAAAAGCCCTATTTGTTCTAGGAGGTAATTAACATCTTTAGGGGTTTTGTTTGCCTTTTTCTGAACTTTTTCAACTCTGCTGTGTCTTTTTTCAAGCATGCCAATCAGACATGTATTTATAGGAAGGCATTATAATGTTGGCAATATTATTTTCAATTCGTTTCCTAATAATCCTTACCATGCAATTTGCCCCTTTCATCATTGCTGCCCTCTGATTCAACATCTTCATTAAACTATCTTCTTTGACCCAAGATAATTTCCCTTTAGCTAAAGTTTAGGTTTAATACTTTCGTGGTTAAATTATGGGAATCATTTTGCACCTATTTAACTGACCTACATTTTAATTTAGAAAAGCAACTGATGGGTTTTTTTATTCCCCTCCATTGAAAAAAAAAGTTTATTTTTACTTTTTGTTTTTTCTTTTTGAAACAACAGTCCAGCTCATTTTCCTTTTTTTAAAAAAAATATCCAAGGCTAAGAGCCTACTTGATGAGACCATCTGTCGACCAAATCCCTTTTCAGAAAATTGGAACTTCTTTACCTGGGTAGAAAAGGCAGAAAATAATATTCCTTTCTCATGTGGCTTCAAAGCACCCACAAGGTCATGCTTTTTTCTTTGATCGACGGAGCAGTAGAGGTAGTCTTTGACTTATAACCACAACTGAGCCCAAAATTTCCATTGCTAAGCAAGTCAGATGTTAAATTAACCATGCCCCATTTTATGACCTTTTTGACATGGTTGATAGTTATGAAGTTGTTAAGTGAATCATATGGTTGTTAAGTGAACCTGGCTTCCCCCATTGACTTTGCTTGTCAGAAGCTCCCCAAGTAGCTTCTTAGGGAGAAGAAATGACAGTCCCTAGGATCCTACAGCCAACATACATATATACTGGCTGACAAACACCCAAAGTTTGATCGATCGTGGAGATGCTGAAAAGCATGAAAACTGGTCATAATTCATTTTTTAGGGCCACTGTAACTTTAAATAGTCATTAAACAAATGGTTGTAAGTCAAGGGTTATCTGTATATACCTGACAAGATTAATTTGTACTTTTAACTTAATTAATTTGTATCCCACCTTATTTCTACAAATAACCCAAGGCAGTGAACATAACCAACACCTCGTCCTCCTCCTATTTTCTCCACAACAGCAATCCTGTGAGTGAGTTGAACTGAGAGAGAGTGACTGGTTCAAAGTCACCCAGCCAATTTTTCATGCTAAGGTACATCTGGAACTCACAGTCGCCTGACTTCTAGCTTGGTAAGATTAAACCATTCTTCTCTTATAGCTATTTTAGCGGGGGATTATGGATCTGAAATTCAACAATCTGAAGAGTACCTAGTTGAGAAGATTAATCTAAACAATATTAATTGGTAATTCATATTTATTATAGATCATTAATCAAGTCAACTCATTCTCTTGGTTGCAGTGGGAAAGTGTTATAACTAATGATGAATTTTTCATAGGTAGTGTTTAATTATGACTGGATCATAGGTAATTTTTCCCACTCCACAATTTTGAAATTTTTATTCTGATGAAATTCTCCACTGACTTGAACAGAAGATCTAATATTACATAACAACAGATCTAAATATTATGCTTCAAAGAGTTTTCATTAACAAATGATATACAGAGTTTAAATTTATTTTACAAAAAGTCCTGACTTCCCCTAGCTTTTAAATCTGATCTTTTTTACTTCTTTGGGTTGAAAAAGAAGCAGAAACAAACAATGCAATCTGTCAAGTAACTTGAGCTGTGCAACAGATAGTTTTGTTTAGGCTTTCTCTTTTTGACAAACTATGCAAAGAGTTGGTATTCCTTGGCAGTTTTATCTTAGGGATTCGTGTCTTTCTTACTCATTAAGACTGCCTCTAAAGATAACAAAGAGCAAATACTGCCTGCCTACCAGACTGTGAGAAAAGTCTTCTTCAGTTTGGAAAACTAAACATGGGATTTTCTTTTCACATGGTGGAAAGCTTGGATGTTGTCCACTATCTATTTTATCACTGATTGAGAAGAGATAATAAAGTCCCCCAAAGCAAAGCAGAAAATGACGATGAGGCAATTGATCTTCCCTGAGTTGCTACTGCAGTTTACATAGTTGTCTAGGACTAATCATATTGATAAAAATAATAGTTGTCACTGTTGAGTTAAACCATTATTTTAAAATCATGATTTATTCAATAAACCACAGTTGAATGAATTCATATAACTTTAAATTGTAACAATGACTTGTAAGTCACAATAGCTAGATTCACACAACACGTTAAATCAAAACCAACCAATTTATATCATGATTTAACTTATTATATGAACCTACATACGCCTTACCTCTAAATAAGTAAGAAGAGGGGATGGATCATATAGCTTTTGGATTAAGCATATGCTTGGCATTCAGAAGTTATCAGATTCATCTCCTGATTTCTTTCTAGTTCGGTGTTTCTGAACATGAAGATGTGTGGCTCTCAAATCCCAAAATTCCTAAAATGGAGAATTCTGGGGGTTGAGGGCCACACAATTTCAAGTTGCCAAATCTGAGAAATACTACATTAATTAAAAGCATCAGATGATGTAAAAGATATATCCTATTGCCAGACACAGCAGATAATACTTGGTCAGGTAGATAAAAGTTTTTAACCTAATGACTGCTGTCCATATTCCTAATGGGACTTCAGAGTAAGTCCCACTAGGAATAATGTGTAGTAAATATTCATATGATTTCTCTATTACAATAAAGCCTATTGAACCAAATATTTTGTTCTAGTTGATTTTCCCTGGGCTAGGAAAATAAGAGGGACCAGATTTGATTAGTAGTCAGATGGTAGACCATGGTTTATAAGCCAAGACTAAGTAAACCTATCATCTGGTTTAGGAACTGTGGCATTTTTAGTAATACCAAGGTATACTATATATAAGATTTTCTTCAAAATAACTTTGCTTGGATTAAATATTTTACACTTACAGCAGGAAAGAATATATTGATTGGTGTTTTGCCTTATAGGATGTCTATTTTGAATCTGAATTGTTGCTCAGTCCTGGTAACAACTAGATTTATTAAAGTTTTGGAAGTTCACCAGGATGATTAGCTAGTATCACTATCCGTGCAGAATGTTCACTGTTGGAAGTCCTTGTGATAGTTTCAATCTCCTGCTTGAGCAGGGGGTGGGACTAGATGACCTCCAAGCTCCCTTCCAATTCTGTATTCTATGAAACTTTTATGAAATAGGCCCGTGGTGGCTAACCTTTTGGGGCTCCTGTGCCAAAAACTGCAAGCATGCCAGCACGCCTTTACTTGCATGCCAGCACCAAGAATGCAATGCGTGCCTCCTCCCCACGCCCCCTGCCTGTGCAATCCCCACCCCCACCCCCTTACCTGCACTGCGCTTCACAGCTGATTTTTCATCTGGTTTGAGGCCTTTTTCGGCCTCCCAGAGGCTTGGAAAAAGCGTCTGCAAGGCTTCTCAGGCCAAATTATAGGCCCCTTTCATCATTTCTGGTATTACAGGAAGTGATGAAATGGGCCTATAATTTGTCCTGAGAAGCCTTGCAGAGGCTTTTTCCAAGCCTTTGGGAGGCCGAAAAAGGCCTCAAACCAACCGGAAAAAAAAAATCAGCTGTGAGGCGCGTGCATGAGCAGTGAGGTAAGTTTGCCTGTGGCTTATGTGCCAGCACAAATGGCTCTGCATGCCACTTGTGGCACGGTGCCATAGTTTCGCCATCACAGAAATAGGCTAATATGTCTGTAATGAAACTCCTCCCCCTCAACATAGGGAGGGTTGCAACCTTTAATTGTTTATTTTACATACACTCACCTCACACAAAAGTTGAGTATTTCTAGCTCTTGTAGCCAGTTCTGTGTACTATAAAAAGCAATACAGAAAAGTATCTTGCAAAATAAAGTTTAACTGCTTCTGATGGTATAAGAAATAAACAACAGAGCATTGGGCATTGTTTTTAAACTGAGGAATCCATTTACATTATAATCAGGAAGAAAATAAATAGAAATCTGTAAGATTCATAAGTAACCAAGATAATTAATGCCACATGAAATTAAAAGAAGAACACTTACCAAATATGTTAAAGAATAATTATTTACCTTGTGTTAAAGCATTGGGTATTGCAGTTGTAACTGGATTGTTAGCATCATTTTGATCTTCTTCACTTGGCTCAATGTCTATCTCAGCAGTTATCTCTGGCTGAAGTTAAATATTTTGTCATTAAAAAGTCTTATATAAGTAAATTACAATAGACTTTAAAGAGAATCTGTGCATATACACTGTTGATTAATATGGTAATTTTAATAGATATAACATTTGACAATTGATAAATTGTAGAAATTTTGAGCAAAATAAATATATAAGTGGAACAGAGAAAATGGAGTTCTTGACATTGCAACTTTAATATATATTTGAAACATTCTGACTGATTTAATTTATCTTGAAGACAGCTATAATATAGTTTGCTTGGTTTTGGTTTAGTGTGTTGGGTGAATCCAGCCACTAAGATTTGCAAAGCATGATTTATTACCATTGAAGTTTGTTTAATGGGCCACAATTAAACAACCCGTGCCTTAGGACAATAGGTGAATCCAATCGTTCAAAAATAAATGAGGCTAACACAAAGCAGAATTAATCAGACTTTCAGTGTTCTTGGGCAAAAATGGAATTTTGAGTCTCTATTGCAGGTACTTTCCTAAACTGGAGGCTTAAGACAGGTTTGGTAATTCATAAAATGGATGTGAAAAGGGGCACAACAATTTACAAAGCACAGATTTAATGGAAGCTAGCTATTTTCCTTTCTAGTACTTGTTTCAAAGAACATTCCCACTCTATAGCTTTAAAGTACTATGGTATATAAAATGCTTGCTTTCCCATTCTGTGGAGAGGTTCCTCTTTCTTGTAAATTTGGGGCCCAATGATGAACAGATGGCCATTTCATCTTAGTGTTGTGCTGTTTTCTGAATTTTCCACTACACTGTTATGATTCTTTCAATCCTTGTAAACCACCCAGAGGCATTGCAGTGAGATAGATATGGTAGCTCTATAAATTGTTAAAACAAATAAAAAGCACTAGCTTCAGAATGCATGCCAACCAATGAGTCTCACTTTCAGCCTCTCATATGAATAGTTTTCCACATACAACCATTTCTTTGGCAATTACTCAAAGTTACAATGACACTTAAAAAAATTGACTTATAACTAGTTCTCACAATCATTGTGGCATCTCCATGGTCATATGACCAAAATTTAGGTGCTTGGCCTGAATTTACAATAGCTGCAGCTTCCTGGGGTCATGAATTAGCCATCTGTCTTCCAAGAAGCAAGGTCAATGGGGAAAGCTGGATTTGTTAGAACATAGAATATTCTATATGGAGGTCTTCAGTCCAAGGTTCCTGCTTGAGCAGGGGACCCTATATCATTTCAGATAAATAATTTTAAGAACTGTAGTGAATCGTTTAACAACTGTAGCAAAAACAGTTGTAAAATCAAACGCAACTCTAATTTAACAACAATGGAAATTCTGCTCCCAATAGTGCCTGTAAGTTGAGGACTACCTATACCCGAATATATTAAAAACCAAATAGGAAGATTATACTGAAGATGCGAAATTCAATTCAGCATCTATTGCATCTCTAACTTGAGAACTATATGGCAAATAGGGATTGTGACAACAGCATCCTCCAGGGTGGGGTGGGGTGGAGGAGGGACAGCTTCAGGACATCATGGCAAGCTCTGACCATTTTCTATGTGCATTGTGAAACCACATGCATGTACAAAAGGGGAAAAGCTTACATCATAATGCCATGAGGCTGTTTTCTTCATTCTGACAAAAGCTGCAAGTAACTGTGTGTGGCCTGGATTGTGAATTTACAATACCTTACCATCACTTTTGAGCATGCTAGTAATCTTCCAGGCCCTGACTGAGTGGCAGGAAAGTTAGCAGCACTAACAACATAATTATTAGCCATATATAAAATTACATACCAGAGGAGAATACTGCATATACAAACTACTAGAGATCCAACGGCGTTTATGTGGAGGATTCTGAACTCGATTCTGGATGTGTATAGGCAAAGCTTTCTGGAAAGTAAATTCAAATGATTCAGTGGCCAATGAAAACTCATGCCATAATCCATACTCTATCCTGCCATTTTCAAAATAATTACTAAAAATGAAGTTATAGGAAAGTTTGAAATGTGGATTTATGAAGGAATCATTGTTAGCATTGGTGTTCCTATTAAGAACAATTGCCAGTAAAAGACAAATGAAAGATAATGTTCATTCTCTAAATCAGAAGGATAAGACATTGTGTGATCTTGAATTCCTAATTCACGAGATGGGTCACAATTTGCAAGAGATAGCGTTACGTCCATGCAAGACATGTAAGAGTTGTGATATACAGAGGCAAGAATACCTCAAATAAAAAGTCAAATTCGATGCCTCTCCCAAACTAGGCCTCATGCTAATAGCAGAAGAAACACATAAATCAGAAAGCAGGTCCCAGTCTGTACTCTGAATTTCAAAAATATCACATGCTTTTAGAATTAAAGACAAAATAAATAAATAAATTACAGAACACGGATACCTACAACATGGGTATATACCTACCCTTTCATTTAGTAATGGGCGTCTGAATTTCACCGATTGCTGCAGTGATTGTCTAAGATACATCTCATTCTTAATAGCATGCAGGCTAAAAATAAATGGGGAAAAAAATCCAAATTTTAAATTAATTAAATGACTGCTCTTCTGCAGCTTCATTTTTATCAGACTAGGGTTGAAACTGAAAGTTTTATAGAAGTTTCCCAAGACATTTAGGTGGCAGTGCACCTCTCCACTCAGTATCCCACTGCAAATTATTTCTGCAAGTGCCCAGGGTTTCAAAAACAGTCGACTTTGCTGCTTAACAAGCAAAAAACTTTGGATTCCAGGCTAAATCATAGCAAATTGGACAAATGCTACCACAAGCTATTTTTAAATATTATAACAAAATATCATTTGCCTTTACAGTCTGGATTGTTGAATCTCCCCTCACCCCATTTTTGTAGGTAGCAATATTTGGCACTTCAACAGTTTTCCAGGATTTCTCAAGAACAGAACATAAGGATTCAACTGTAGTATCAGTTAGTTGTCTCAGAACCTAGGATGTACTTCACCTGGTCCTGGAAATTTAAACTCAGTGTGAAAAATATTCCCAGATCATGTTTACATAAATTTCAAACTTCAGTCCTGTGCTTTGCAATTTCCTGGTTGAATACATAGAGTTTCTTTATTAGAAAAGTCGGAAACAAAATGGGAATTAAATAGTTTTCTTTGTTACCTTGTCTTTTCTATTAGGCAGTTTGTGTGACTATTTTATCTTTTATTTTAAATATATTTAACAAAGACCTTTTGACTGGTCTTAGCCTTCTTAGCCAACCTCAGCTCATTCTGAACTTTCATTTTTCTGACACCAGATTTACAATTCTGGGCTACCTGTTTGTATTTTGCTTTGTGATCTGGCAATCTTTCCATTTCCTGTATGTGTCCTTGTTTATTTTCATGTCTTTAGCAAGCTTTTTGCATAGCCATGTTGGCTTCCTTTCATATTTTTTCTCTTCACTGAAATTTCAATTTTGCTTTTCATGTTTCCTTTTTTAGAAGTTCACATTGACATTGAGCATCTTTTCTTATTGGTTTCTCCTGTCACAAGATCTGGCTTTTAATTTCTAAAATTGAGTCAAATCCACTGTATTCAAGACTAAATTACATATTTTAACTATGGAGCTCTTGGTGCTCTCTGAACTTGGTTGTTTGCTTGCAGATATCAACAGTCATTATGGTTGCATGATCATTCATGTGCTGAGGGAAAATTTGCAAGTATATTTCCCAGCAAAATCCTCAGGTAAATTCCTCATAAATTTCTCATTGCTCATTCATTTAACTCCTCCTTCGAACTAAGCTGACTGATATTGCTCTTTCAGTCTCTGCTTAACTCAATAAGTAATAAGTAATCATCCATGTAGACAATCAGCCGCTCCCAAAATACAGTCCTTATAATTATCCACTATTTAGGAAATGGAAAAAAAATGAGTTTTTCATACTTCACTCTCAACACACAGTTTCTCTGAGTTCTTTTTTTCTCCTCGGGCAAATTCCTTTTAGCTTTCTTTTTCAGTATTTCAATGAAGGATAAAGTGCATTTTGAATGGTCCCTTGGCCTATTAATTCTAACTGTGGTTTAGAATGATAATGCACAAAAAGGGTTATATAATTTGCTTATAGGATTCTAGACTAATTCTAGTGCATATGTATTTTACCAACACTTTAAAATGTCCAAAGAGGTTTTGTCATTACTATGTGTGAATGTTGTACTTTGTAGGCTAAGGATTATGGGTGAAACAGGCCACAATCAGGGCTCAACAAAGCATACAACAAAGCAAGGCTTAGTATGATGTCTTAATTAAATCAAATAGATATTATTAGTAACATAGTACCTTCTCTTTAGAATATCAAACTTTAATTCCCAAGATTGATTCAAGTCTCTTAATTCCTTCTGAAGTCTGAAAAAAGAAAAGAGGAACATTTATAAGTTTTCTAAATATTATTAGTATTATTGGAATTATTGTCTTATACATACAACACATCCTTGTGCACGTACCTCTCTACATACAATCTTGCTTGCTCTTCAGCTTTCTTAAGCCTCTTTATTTCATTATATAATGCTTTTCTCTCAGCCGCCGTTGAGAAATAGAGAGAAATATTTATTCATTCAAGATTATCAGTGTATATTACGTATATATAAAATGTATCTCCATGGTCAAATTCCCTTAGAATTGGGGGCCACTACATGTAGTCCTCAATTTACAACAGTTCATTTAGTGACTGTTTGAAGTTACAACGGCATTGTAAAAAGTGCCTTATGAACATTTTTCACACTTATGACCATTGCAAATCCCCATTGTCACATGATCAAAATTCAGGCTCATATTTATGACAGTTGCAATGTCCTGAGGTCTTGTGATCACCTCTTTTGACTTCTGACAAACAAAGTCAATGGGGAAGCCAGATTCACTTCCCAACTATGTTACTAACTTAGCAATTGCAGTGATTCACTTAACAACCATGGCAAGAAAAGTCATAAAATGGGTCAAAATTCACTTAACAAATCTCTCTCGCAAAACAGAAATTTGGGGCTTAATTCTGTTTGTAAGTCAAGGACTACCTATAGCAAAAAAAAACTATTTACCATACCACATTAAAACTACTTAACCAAGAATAAGCAGCAGCTGAGAAGGCTATGGGTTATACAAAAGCCTTGGAAAACAGTATGTACTTACAGTATGTAAAGCAGGTTTATTCAGAAGCCTACATCTTGTTTAAAAATCTAAACTGTACTGGTTATTTGTAGATAAAAAGATGACATGTAAAAAGAGGTTAGTTCAAATGTTATTGAAAATGATAATTTGTGAAGATCAGGAGTATGATGTCCATTGTCCGATGTCCATAAATGGCAATAACTAAGGGCATCTGCCTGATCTTACTATCTTCATCAAAACTGCCCTCTCCTAAGCATCTGCAGTGTCCTTGACAAAAAAGATGGGACTTACATCTCATAGATGCAATACTGCTTTTGTTATTAGGCCCTGCTTCCCTGGTGGATAACAATGCTTCCAACCTTCACAGTCTCTGGCTATGCTAACTGGTCTGGTTAAAGTTGTAGCCATTAGCTCTCCTACCCACAGTCTACTGGTACAGTGACCAGTATTTTGAAGTCTAATTTAAAAAGAGTTATATTTTTGTTCATTTGCTGTCCTGGTTTGAAGAGACAGAAAGAGCTTAGCGTAATTGATCGAATTAAATATATTCTTCATTGTTATTCTGTCCATTTTTTCCTTTGTTCTCAGTAATTATCCAACAAAACTTCAGTTATGTCCAAGCAGGGCATTACAGTTACCAATATCTGACTAAAAGAATTTCTAATTCTGGCTTATTTCTATACTGAAAAGTAGTTTGGTAGTTGACATAATGGGAAACTGTGATTAACTGAAAACTGTGATAAGGAGGGAAAAGTTACTGAAAAGACAGAGCATGAGGTAAAATGGATGACCGATAAATGAAACAAACAAACATGATTACAGAGCTTCTGCATGTTGTGACATATTAAATTGATCAATACATCCTTAAGAAACCAATAAATCTTAGCCTAATCTCACTTTTTGGTTTTTGTCCAAAGAAAAGATGCATCTTCTCTAGAGTAGTTTTCTCAAGCTACTACCTAATGAGGAATGTAGCATGAAATGTGCCACCTGTCAGGATAAACCCAAGGAAAAACAGGAAATTCCTTGCTCCCTCTTCTTTTTCCCCTTTTGTTACGAAGGTCTTTGAGAAAAGTTATGAGGACAATGCTGCAGCTGAGGATGAAGATATGATTTGGGCAGGGGTGGGATTAAAAAATTCCCACCAACTGGTTCACTGCCCAGTTGCCGGGTGGGCATGGCCATGGTGGGCATGGCCTGCCGGAATTTTCAGAGGGCTGTTTTTTGCTTTCCCAAGGGTCCAAAGGCTTCCCTCGGGCCTCTGGGAGGGCAAAAATGGCCTCCCCTGGGCTCTGGAGGCCCTCCAGAAGCCAGAAACAGGCCCACTTCTGGACTTCTGATACTTCTGGTAACACTGTTTTTCGCCTTCTCAGTGGTCCGGAGGCTTCCCTTGGGCCTCTGGAAGGGTGAAAACAGCCTCCCATGAGATCTTGAGGGCCTCCAGAAGCCAGAAACAGAATTATATGAGGATTTATATAAGAAGAAGAATTCATAACAGTGATAAAAGTGATAAAATATTTCAAGAAAGTGAATCTTCCAAGAATATCAGAAGAAGAAAAAAGCTTACTGAATAGAAGTATAAACTTTGAAGAAGTGACCTGGGCAATAAATAAACAAAAAAATAACCAGGCGGCTGGTCCAGATGCACTCTTTGCCGAATTATACAAAACCCAACAAGAAATATTACGCGACAGATTACTTAACTTATTTAATGAGGTCCTGGATAAGGCAAAAATTCTGAACTCGTGGAAGGAAGCAATGATTATGATTATTCCAAAAGAAAAAAAACACGATCAAACAAAGATAGGAAATTATAGGCTAATATCTCTATTAAATGTGGACTATAAAATTTTTGTAACTATAATGGCCAAAAGATTCAAGAAAATACTAAATAAATTTATACACATAGACCAAAATGGCTTCCTTCCACATAGACATCTTAGCAATAATATTAGGACAATTTTAGACATCATAGAGTATTATGAAGATCATAGTGGAGAACAGGTAGCATTATTATTCCTGGATGCTAAGAAGGCCTTTGACAATGTAAAATGGAGTTTCGTTCTGCAACAAATTAAGTACATGGATTTTGGGCAAAAATTCCTAAATGTAGTATCAGCAATATACGGTAACCAACAAGCTAGGATATTGATAAATGACCATACAACAAATAAATTTGAAATACAAAAAGGAACGAGGCAGGGATGTCCATTATCACCATTATTATTTATTTTGACTATTTTGAGGTACTAACAAGAATAATTAGAAAAGAATTCGCTGATGATTTGGTTTTTATTTTAGAAGATCCGCAAAATTCGGGACCAAAATTGATAGAGCAATTAGAGGAATTTGGTGAAGTAGTGGGGCTAAAAATTAACAAGGAAAAAACTAAAATACTTACCAAAATATGACAAATGTTCAAAAAGAAAATTTAACAACGATAATGGACATTCAGACGACAAATAAAATTAAATGTTTGGAAATTGTAATTTTGGCAAAATGCATAACTCTTAAAGAGGACAATTATACCCCACTAATAAAAAAAAACAACTGAAGACCTTAGGGAATGGAGCAATCTAAGACTTTCTCTTATGGGGAGAATTGCATCCATAAAAATGAACATATTACCAAAATTATTGTTTTTATTCCAAAACGATCCAGTAAAATTAGAAAAAAAATCTTTAATCAATTGGATAAGCTAGTATCAAAATTTATATGGCAGGGAAAAAAGCCCAGAATTAGACTGAAATTGTTGCAGGACGCTATTGAAAGAGGAGGATTTGGCCCACCGGATTGGGAAATATACTACAGAGTGGCCATTCTGACCTGGGTTAAAGATCGGATAAGTGTCAAAAACAAAAGAATATTAACATTAGAAGGATATAATCTACAGGCAGGGAGGCATGCCTTTTGTGGCAGGACAAACATCAAATTCATGGTTATTTTCAAAGGCATAAAATTAGGCAGACCCTACTAAGTGCATGGAATAAAACTAAATGTCAACTTTACATTGAAATACCAACTTGGCTAACTACATTAGAAGCGTTAATGTACCCACATTTATTGCGACGAGGACAGGTCATTACATATGAGGACATATTAGATGAGAAGGGAGAGTTAAAAAAAAAGACAGGAGCTGAAAGATTTGGGATTTGAGATAGAATGGTAGGCCTATTTACAATTACAATCAAGGTATAATAAAGATATGAAAGAATGGGGTATTAGTAAACGGAAAACAGAATTAAATAAAATATTATTAGGAATGGATGAGAAATTGATTTAAAACATTTACAAAGTATTGCTGGAATGTAAATTGGAAGAGGAAAAGATGCAAGAAACGATGTTGGCCTGGATGAAAGATTTTGGATACGGTATAAATTTGGAAGATTGGCAAATTTTATGGGATAGGAATAGGAAAATTACCTTGGCGGCATCATAAAAAGAAAATTTACTAAAAATGTTTTACCGATGGCATATCCCATCATCAAAATTAGCAAAAATGTACCCGAAATTATCCCCTAAATGCTGGAAATGCAATAAAGAAATTGGAATATATTACCATGTATGGTGGAAATATGAAAAAGTTCAAATATATTGGCTGAAAATTAGAAACTGGTTAGAAGAGATGTGTAAAATTAAAATAGAGTTCAGACCTGAAATTTTTCTATTGGGAATCAATGTGGGGAAATATAATAAAGAGATAGTGTATCTAATAGTTCATGTCACCACTGCCATGAGACTAGCACTTACCCAAAGATGGAAAGGAAATGCTATGCCAGAAGAGATGGAAATTGATGGTGCACTGAAATGGATAGAATAGCTCAAGAATTAAAAGATAAGATGGAATCTGACTACTACAAAATTTGGGAGAAGTTTTACCACTGGTTTAAAAAAGAAAGGAGTAACTGTGTCAGCAATGATTAATATTTATGTATATATGTAAATTTGTATTTTTTTGTTATGTATGCACCACATTCATTGTTTTTAAATGTTTTTTCTGTTTGCTGTTCATTAATAAAATTTTAAATTTTTTAAAAAAGAAGCAGGAAACAGGCCCGTTTCCAGACTTCTGGTACTTTTGGGAGGGCTGTTTTTTGCCTTTCCAAGGGTCTGGAGACTTTCCTTGTGCCTCTGAGAGGGTGAAAATGGCCTCCCTGGGCTCTGGAGGCACTCCAGAAGCCAGAAACAGGCCCGTTTCCTGGTACTTTCATGAGGGCCGTTCTCCCCCCTCTTAGAGCCTCCACGCAGACCCTGCACTTACCTGCACAGAAAATGAGACTCCTGGGAAGGGCAGGGTTAGCCAGTCACTTCAAATACTGGTTTGGTGAACTAGATGCCAATTTAACATCCGGTTTGTCTGAACTGGTCTGAACTGGTAGAATCCCACCCCTGGATTTGGGGATCAGGTTGTCTTAGTTTAGAAAAGTAACTCAATACCTCATCCAAAATTTCACTTGTCCCATCTCCTTTGGTGGCTGCTTCTTTGGTGGCTGCTTCTTTGAGAGCTGCATCTTCGAGGGCTGCACCTTTGGTGGTTGCTGGTTTAAGAGCTGGCTCTTTACTGGCTGTTTCTTTGCTAGTTTTCCCTTTCAAGCTTTTTTTTCTTCCCTTTTTCATTTTTTCTTCCAGATCGGAGGCTTTCTATAAAATACAATTAATAATCCTTCCATTTAAGACATGAAGCTTTTTTTGTAAGATAGCTCTCAGACATTAAGCCCTGATAGAAATCTCATTTCAAAGCTTGGCTAGTTGTATTTGCATGTGGGGAGAGGAGTGGATCTTGTTTAGCACCTCAAATATCCTCCCACGGGACACTCACCTGCTCTCATCTTTGTTCATCCTTTGATGGTCTGTTTCAGAGAAAGTCTTTCAGATTTCTGCTTCTTGGGGTTTAGGGGTATAAATATTAGAAAAATGAACAAAACACAATAATAACAAGCTTTGAAAGGCTGAATGGCAATTTAAAAGGTAATGGAGCTGTCTAGTCCAGTCATAGCATTATAAAAGTAACAAAATCAGATTTAAAAACAGCAATAAATAGCTAATGCACAGCTGGGATGAAAAAGGCAAGTAAGATAAGGAAACTAATGTGGGAGGAGGAACACAATGGGCAAAACTATTTTTAATCTACACTCCACAGGACAAATCTGATCTGTTAAGTGCCTATGATATCCCTCTGCATTTGAGATGAGATGAGGTTTATACACAGGATGCTCTCTGCAGTCTTTGGAAAACAAAGCAACAATTGAAATGAATATGGCCCCTTAGTGGGGGAAAAGTTTGTGATTTCTGCCCTAAACTATTAAATATGTCAACATAATTTTGTTGCTGTTGTATAGTATTTTCAGTCATGTGTATTACCTTTAAATCAGAGCAATGGTCTTCCACAGATTGAATTTTTAAAATCAAGATTTGTTAAAGAAAGCTGAATTTTTAAAATCAAGGTTTGTTAAAGAAAGCATTCTGGGTTTTAAAAGAAATTACTCTAAATTTCTATGCTGGTGTCTTTAATTCTCAGTATACCTGCAAAGTTTCTTGTCTGGTGCCAATCAGCTATGTAATATACAATTAGGAAGTTTAAAATATACAAACAATTAGGAAGTTAAATGTGGTCAAATGAGGTACTAACCTCTAGAATAATAGCAATAGTAATAGCAATAGCACTTATACTTATATACTGCTTCATGGTGCTTTACAGCTGTTGTAGAGCAGCGGAGATATGAGGCAGACTCAGAGTGTTCATTTAGAAAGCTTTATTCAGCGAATAAAGGGTTGCCGCGGCTGCCTAGGCTAACAAGGCAGATCAGCTGGCGGCAACAGCTGATGCCATTTGACAGCTCTTTTTATAGCCGGCTGTCAAATGGCACTAGCCAATGGGAGCGATCGGCGCTCCCGCCAAAACTGTGGACCTGAGTGGGGACTGCAGTCAGTTCTATGGATACAACAACAGCCCTCTTACACAGTCGCATATTGCCCCCAACAACCCTCATTTTACCCATCTTGGAAGGGTGGAAGGCTGAGTCAACCTTGAGCTTGGTCAGATTTGAACTGAAAGGTTATATAAAAATGCTTCTGCATCCTAGGCAATCTGAGAAGCATCCTTAGCAAATAGAAATGATGTATTGCTGTATTATATTGTGATTGCTGTCAAAGAATGGGATAGTAAGTGGTTCAAAGAATATGAAACAAAGATGGATGGAATATACAAGAGGTGCTTGACTTAACGACCACAATCGAATCCAAAATTTCCATTGCTAAGCAAGGCAATGTTAAGTGAGTTTTGCCCTATTCTGCAACCTTTCTTGCCATAGTTGTTAAGTGAATCACATGGTTGTTAAGTGAACCTGCCTTCCCTCATTGACTTAGCTTGTTGGAAGGTTGCAAAAGGTGATAATATGAGCCCAGGACAGTGCAGCCATTGAATGTTGCAATATCATGACACATCAGTAGGAAGTCACGTACTCAGAAAACCCAATACACATATAGGGCGACACTATAGGAACAGCAACGTGTAAAACCTGAGTTGGCTATAGCATAAGGATTAGCCATATATGGCAATATTCCCTATTCCTGTCTAACCTCATGTGTAACCTAACCCCCCCCTCCCTGCTTGCTGCACAATAAAAGAGAGGTGCGTAGTACTATCTGGGCTTCCTCTCACCAAAAGAAACCTTTGTGTCGCTGTCATCTTTGCCATCAAGAGGAGCCCGCCCAGACAGTCTGCCTGGGTTCAGGTCGTCAGCTGATTCATCCTGGCACTGGGACCCGCAACGCATCAACTGAAAACATGTGAGTGGCCAAGCATCCACATTTTAATTATGTGACCATGCCAAGCTGCAACTGTTGCTAAGTGTAAAAAAATCATCATAAGTCACTTTTTTCAGTGCTGTTGCAATTTTGGTCACTAAATGAATGGTTGCAAATTGAGGACTACCTGTACTGAAATTCTTTATAGTAGAGATATCAGCATCTAAGATAACTTAAAAAAATACCTGCTAATCACATGAGCCTCCAGTACAAGAAGGTGATGTTGAACCAACATTCTGGTCATTACCAGTTGGAAGTTGGTAACAAAATTGATGGAAAAATCTATACAAATATGAAGCAACAGAAGAAGCCCCAGAAAGATTCTAACAAAACAAGAAATTTGGAGAATACAGTGGCCAACAAAAGAGGAGAGCTACAGAGTATTCAATCTCTATTAGATCGAATTGTAATTTTCACATGTTAGCAAAATAGTTTTTAGGATTATGTAGGTTAGAAAGCTACATAGAAAGAGATGTTCATATTTGCTTTAGAAAGGTTCAAGGAACAAGAATCATTATAACTGATCTGTGCTGGATAATTGAGAAAACCAAAGGATATTAAAAAGAAATTTGTACGTCCATTGATTATAGAAAAGTCTTTAACTGCATCAATTATGTCAACCTATGGAGAGTGCTTAAGAAAATGGCAATCCCAGAACATCATATATCCTTGTGTGAAACCTAAAGACTAGATAGGAAATCACAGCCTGGATTCCTGCCTTTCACAATATGGCCAAATAGATTGCTCCAGGTTGGCAAACAGAGAGACAAGGCTTTATATTCTCCCTTAATTTTTTTTCAATCTATATGATGAATATATAAGAAGGAAACTGAACTGGAAAATTAGTGTGGCTTTAAAACTGCAAGATGAAACACAATATATTGCTCTATGAAATGTCTTTGTATATTAGTAGCTTGGATTGGTAGCTATGTTGTTGATTTGAGCTCCGAACATGGTGATTTAGTTATAAACATTTCATCCCCGTTTGAGGAGTCATCTTCAGTGCACTTTGGATCGTGCTTGTCTGGAGGAGCACTAGCCTTTAAATACCTTTCTGAGTCTGGTCTGATTTTGGGTAATGCTAAAATCTCATCTCTGCTCCTTCTCTCATTAGACTTGACATTCTCAGTTCCTGTAACTCTTCATTATATGGTTTAGCTGTGAGTCCTCTAATCATCTTTATTGCTCTTCTCTGCACTCTTTCTAGAGTCTTAACATCTTTTTTGTGCTGACCAAAGCTGGATTCAGCATTCCATGTATGATATCTCACCAGTGCAACATAAAGTGATCTTGATATCATTCTTCTGTTAATGCCGCTTAGGATTGCATTGGTTTTTTTGGCAGCTGCAGCACACTGCTTGTCCACTAGGACCTCTAGATCTCTCTCAAAATTACTGCTGTTGAACCAGGTACCATCTGTTCTATACCTGCGTCTTTGGTTTTTCTTGAATAAATGTAAAAATTTGGCCTTTTAGTGTTGACTATCAACAGCAAAATTCCAATATATTGTCACAGAGTAGCACTTGGTAGGATAAGCAATCAAGAAAATATATTTAAATGTTACAATGCACCTATACTTACAAAGACCAAAACCAAAGAGTCAGTGGTTTTCTTTATAATTCTATATGGAGGAAAGTTGGACTTTAAAGAAGTAGGATATTGATGCTTTTGAACTTTGATGTTGGAGAAACTGCTGAGAAGAGATAGCCAAGAAATAAACAAATATAGAACAAATCAGTCTGGAGTTTTCATTTATGGTCCAAATGATGAGGCTTAAAGGATCATACTTTGGGTATATCATGTGAAGACTGAGTTCTCTTGAGAAGTCTCTATTGAAAGCCAGTTTGGTCTAATGGCTAAGAATCAGGCTAGAAAAAGCCGCTAAAAGCCGCTGGGTGACCGCTGGGTGAGTCACTTTCTCTCAGCCCAACTCACCTCATAGGATTGTTGCTGTGGGGAAAATGGCAGGAGGAATGTGCATTGGATATGTTTGCCACCTTGAATTTTTTTTTTATAGAAACAATAGAGGTGAGTTACATATAAACAAACAAACAAAGCTGGGAAATATACGTAGTAGGATAGAGAAGGGATGGCCAGCATCAAGGTGGATAGATTTGATTGCAGCAGTAATGGGTCCACTGTGGGAAGATCTGAAGGGCCTAATTTGAGGAGAAATCATCCTGGAATAGGTCTGTTGAGAGTGAATACCAATTCGATTGCACATAATAAATCAATTAATAAAATAGTTTCCCTTTGTGAAGAATTGTTCAACAACTGGGCTTCCTGATTGACTTGCACTGGTTCACAGCTAAACAAATGTATTACACAATTGTACATATGCATAAGCATCAGGCAACTCAAGAACTTGTGCTGATTAAAACATATTAAACTTAATTTGCTTTTTATTTTTTAATACAAAATATTTTTTCTTGTACAAATACTACTCAGATATATACAAATATAAGGTGTAAGGAACCTTTTGAAATCCTGACAGGTGCCCACTACTGTATCTACCCATAATTCCAGCTACTTCACTAAATCTGTGTTAGAAGACAAATATTGAACAAAGCATACATATGTTTAACCACAATTATATTCTATTTTCTCTTATGCTGCTGCACGAACTTCATTGTACAGTTTCCAGTATACCTTTGAATAACAGCCCAAAGTAACCAGATAATTCTGTTTACTAATCTTCTCACATAAAAAGCTGTACTGCAAAAATTAGGACTGCTAATAGAAGACAGCAAAGAGTTAGTTTTCTATGTTTTTGGTCCCATTTATTGGCCTTTTCGATTTTTGCATTCTACATCTGATAGTTTTAGCAATGTTTAATAGATGCTTGGTGTGGGTTGTGATGGGACAGTGGATTTGGGGATTATTGCTTTGTTAAAGAGGAAAAACTATTTATTTGCTGGTTTAAAGCACTTATCTAACTGTCCAATTTATATCAAACTATGTGTGATTCCCAAAAGCATCATCAATATAACATTAATCTATTAAAGTATATATCTATTAAAACCACCAACTTTATAATCTGGCACCAAGTACATTTTCACATGCAGTTCCATCAGACTCACCCTATCTTTGCATTTGGGGAAAAAAGTCAGGTCTTAAGTACTTTTCAAAAGGCTGTGAGGGAAGGATGGGGGAAAGATGTTCCATAGGAAAGGAGTGCCATGGAAAAAGTACATTTTCCAGATCCCATAAGACGGCAATGTTTAAGAGAAGGGACTAGAAGTGTGCCCATCGTATTTGACTTGGTAGGATAGATAAATGGCCTTAAGGAGGGGCAGTACCTCACATAACTGACCCTGTGCCATATAAGGCTTTCAAATCAGCACCTTGAATTACACCTGTAAGGAAAATGGGAGCTAGTGCAATTCACGCAACAGAGGTGTTACATGGGCAAATCTACGAGCACCATCACTATGCACAAGCCACATTCTGGACCATTTGTAGCTTCTAGATTATCTTTTCAGGATGCCCCATATATGACAGTTATCCAAATGAAAAGTGGCTAAGGTATGAATGATTATAAACTAGACCTCCATTCAGGAGGGGCACAATTGGCACACCAGACAAAACTGCAAAGGCCTTGAGGTATAAAGTGTAGCATCTCTCATTTCATCTCATCAATTCATACTTTTTTCCTAATATTAATGTTTGTCTTCCTGCAACAATGGTGACTCAGAAAATCCTGGGTTTAGACTTTTTGGCTTTAAGTTTGTCAGATAGGGCGAATCATTATTTGTTTCATCTCTGCCCATAGCTCCTTACTGTCTCTTGATTTTTTAAATGTATTTTTCTATGATAAGACTGGAAACATGCAGTCATTTCCTGGGATTCAAAATGATCTTTGAAGAGCTGACTTCCAAATACTGGATTCTCATACAATGAATTAAAATGAAGTAAATGAGGAAGATGGACTGGAAAAAAAGTATTATTCCTACCTTTAAAAGGTATGTCTTTCAAAGAAAAATGATGTTTTTATAGAAAGAAATTCATTTGACTATTCTTTGTAGGTTTGTATTCTTGATTCTTTCTAGGTTTGCTGTATTAATAATAAATTTTTCCAAATTTAAAATAAGTTATTTCAGTCCCAGGTCAAGGCATTCCCCTCCCAATCTTAAGTCCAAAAAGTCCATTCATAATGGATTTAAACCACGTCAAACTCAATGCAAAGTGCACCTTCTCTTAAGTCGGAGCCTAGAGCTGTAACTCTTAGTTGATGCTACAAAATGATTTACTAGAAATGCATGTTTAACGGAATAATGACACTGATATATTAGTTACTGAGTTACCCTCTTAAAAGTAGCAAACACAAACATCTTGATAATACATTACTTTTTTATCTAAAAACAAATCACAGATATTTCAGAACTATTTACCACATTATAATTAACTGATCATATTTCTCTCCTTTCTTTTGGTGACTGCTTTCCAGTCCAGCTAATCTCAGCATGTGTGACTTTCCCACTACATGTCACACTTTTACAAATATAGGTTTGATTAATAAAGGAAAGCAAATTCCTCTTGCAGCCAATGGAGGAGGTGCATCAAAGGAGCAGGTGAGTTATACATGGATTTAGACATTAACTTCTGAGCACTTGCTTGCTGTGTGCCTTTATTTGAAGTTTGAGAAAGATATAGGATAACAGTAGCCTTTAGTCAAACACCGTTTTATCAAACTCCATATTAAGAATATCTTTAGGAAGGAATACAAAAACAATCCTTCATTATTTAAAGCACCTGCTGACTCATCCATATAATGGAACATGCTGCATGAAAAAAATGTTAAAGAACCATAAACAACAAGATTTTGTAATAAAGTGATAGTTGCAAATTTTTGGTTTTTTAAAATACCAAATTTTGTTTAAAACACGGCCATTGCACAAAGTGTTTTATGAAGTCTTGCTAGAGTTTCAGGTGCCAAACTATATAATCTGAACTTTTAAATTTACTCATTTTTTGAGACGCAACTGAAAACAAAATATGGAGCAAGGCATGCTTTGAGAGACTTCATTTCCCATCATCTTCAATCATCATGCTCAATCCTTAGCGAACAGCTTCGATGCTCTGCTTTCAGGGGGTTTTCTAGTTATTTTTTAACAAATTATAAAGCATGTGGTTCCTTTGATCCCATTGTTTTCCTCAGTTTATAAATAGTTTATTATTTATATCCAACATATAACTTCCATTTAAGAATATGGAGAACTGGTAGCAGAATTTTGAATAGTTCGGAGAACCAGCAAATACCACTTCTGACTGGAAATTTTACAGTATCCTTCCCCTGCCACGCCCACAGAACCAGTAGTAAAATTTTTTGAATACCATGCACTTACAACCAATGTATCCCTCCCATGGTCATGTGATCACATTTTGGGTACTTGAAGACTGGCTTCTACTTAACAATAGTGTCCTACAATTACTTAGTCATGATTTGTGACCTTTGTTTTACTGATTTCTTGAAAAAAAAAACCCATTTAAGAAATAGGATTTGCATGACTCAATAACCAGGGGATTTGCTTAACAATCATCTAAAATTGTTGTAACATTGGATCTAACTTGACATACAACTGCAATTACTTACAATGGAAATTTTAATCTCACTTGTGGTCATAAGTTGAGGACTACCATTACAATAAAATAATATACATTCACAGTCAATAGACTAAATTACCTTTGCTATTGGCTGAGCTCCAGTTTCTTTTAATTTTGAGAGAGCATCTTGAGCTTCTTTTAGTTCCTTAAAAATAAAGATAAAATAGAATTGAACATAATTGCAGTAACAAATGTGATGCTGGAACCTCTAGCACTAGAAGGAAGATCTTTATTTTCTTTGATTTACAATCAAACTAATCTATAGAACCATATTACAATATAAACAATTATGTTCTCATGTGTGACTTTTCTTGCACATAAAGAATTAAGGACAAAAGTATTTTACCCAAATATTTAACCAATGGATATGTTATAAGACATATTTCAGTATCTTATTTCTTTAAAGCCACAAATTAATTCATCTTGTGTTAATGTTTCTAGCAAATGTTGCTAAATTAGCAACATCTATATAATAAAACTATTATTTATGATTTTTAATCAATGTGAACTTATTTTACCATGAATTATTTTAATTTTTCATTACATTTCTGAGGATTCTGTTGCAGTAAGTTGAGCTCTTTTAAACTTGCTAGCTGAAAAAATTGCAAACATATCAGATTGAAGGAAATTAAAATGAATATTTAAAATCAAGGGCAGATAAATAATTCCTCCTTTTCATTCTCCTTCCTATTAAAATAATCCTCAATTCTTCAAAATTCTATGAGATAGTTTTTACTATAATACTCTTCCATGTAGTAATTACTATCCAAAAGGCAATGTTGGAGAAATAGCTTAATCATTATTTTCTTTTTGTATAGTGTTATACAGCAATTAGACATCTCATTTTGAGCAGTTAAATGATTTTACAACTTGAATTGAGGAGTAATTTCTAAAAAAAAAACCCTGCTGCATAAAATGCAGACTGGATATCGTCTATAGCTGGAATATGACTTTCTCCCATGAGCTGTTCAGAGCATCCAGAAGTGGGAGGTGCTTCAGTCTCTTTTGGAAAGGCTGGGCTTAAAACTCTGGGACGCTCCTCCTCCTCCACGGGACACCTCCTCAGCATCCCCCAGTTTTAGCTCAGCCTTCGTGGTAAGAGGTTGTGCACTCCCTGACTGGAACTGTTTCTGATTCAGCTAGTCACGATTCAGGTTTGCTCTTGTTTTAATTCAGCTTGCAAATTTTTCCCCCTATTAATCTGGCGATTTCAAGGCTTGTGGCTCTATTAGGTTATCATCCTGATCAGTTGAGAGCAGCTCTTTGTGACTGGCGGAGCCTGCCATTTCGCAGGCAGTCTGAGATGGCCGCTTCAGGCGATTAGCCTAATTCCCTGATCATCTTATCTTTGCGATCTTGCTGGAACGCTTGCAGCCGCGGCTCACTTCTCCTTACAGGATCATTTGTCTGACATTCTGGAGAGTCAGCAGCAGCGGCTCGTTAAACTGCTCAGGCATTTAACATTGGAGTTTCTGCCTTCCCGCCTTTTTGAACGGCTGGCTTTAAGTTTGCACCTAAATATTACAGGTGCCATTCTCCACTGGTTTCCCTTCTTGGGGACCGGGGCAAGTACTTTCCCACTCCACTTTCCTGGGATTATTTCTCTCTTAGCCTGATGGCATTGGATAAGCAGGCTAGTCCTTAAACAGGATTTTTCCCCCCCTCTCGCAGTTGCTTTTGGATCGTTACATTGGAGCGAAGCCTCAAGTGCCATTTCAAACAGCGGGACATTTTTGACAAGAAAGGATCCATCCAGGACCTGTATAGCTGGCTTCCCTTGTTGGGGACCAGGGATCATGAATATTTCTTGCTTGGGGGGTTTTCCTTGCTGGGGACCCTTAGATACTGTTTCCCATATATATGGGCTTACATATAGATATAGGCATATGTGTATATATATGTGTGTGTTTGTATATAGATATAGACTTACACTCCTGGAGAAGCGCCCTACTTTCAACCACAGGGGTAGGCACCACCCCTAAGTACAAATAATAATAATAATAATAATAATAATAATAATAATAATAATAATAATAATAACAATAATAAATAAATAAATAAATAAATAAAGTTAGAGACATGAAATTCACTCCTCCACAATGGAAGGTGACAACATCTTCCGCTCCAAGATGAATAAGTCACGAGATAAGTCAGTGGCCCCCAAAAAGGCCTCTAAGGTGGCGGATAAGGATGCCCGTAGACGTCACCAAGCCTAGGAAAGGCAGTGGCAGAAATGGGCCAGGGAGGCGGACAAGATGGCTATGACACAACAATCGGATCAGGGCCCAAGTACATTGTTGGGGCCCTTGGACTTATCCACCCAGCCCAGATGGGCTATTTCTGGACAGCCTCCCATAGGCATATCTCCTCCAATGAGCACTGCCCGGAGAATCCCAGAGGGAACCTTCACCCCTATGGCTGCCGGTTTAAGAAAGGAGGAGGGATTACCTGAGACTATTCCCATCGAAATGAGGCAATGGATGGAGATGGCCATACAAAAGGGCATTGCAGCTGGAGTTCAGCAATCCATCCGGACCAGACACTTTTCGGCTACTTCGGAAGTGGGATCCCTGTCTGCTCGCTCCTTTGCTCATATGGGACATCATCAAACTCGGGTATTCCCCCAAATCCCTGACATACCAGCCCAGGGTCTTTGGGAGGAGGTAGAATTAGATGACCAAGATATTCCCATGGAGGTGGGGTCGATCCATCAGATGGACTTGGGGTTGTCAGAGGCTGACCCACTAGAACGAGGAATGTCAGATGACAAAGGCCTCATTCTGGACCAACCTACCTTTTCTGGCCTTTTTCGTCTGCACCTCTTTAAATCTTTTCTGTTCAAAGCAAAGAACACCGCTAAACTAGGCACATCAAGCCCTCATCCATTGTCAACTGAGTCTCAGGATGAATCCAAGGATCTAATATTCTCACAACTGGCTAATGAGGCAGAAACTATTCCTGTCCCTCGTATGTTTGCTGAATTAGTACAAAATCAATGGCCATCAGCAGCACCCTACCCAGTCCCAACAGGGTACGATAAACAATATTATAATTTGGCACCAGAGTTTTCAAAGTTTCTCAAAACGCCGGAGGTGGATGAGCCCATTGTGGCACTGGCCTCTTCTTCAACCTTTCCCAATGAGGCCGAGGAAGCCCTGAGACCGGAGGAAAAGAGAGCAGAGTTGGCACTCCGTAGGGCACATGTTTCTGATGCTTGGGCCATTAGGGCAGCTACAGCTGTGTCCTTTTTTACACGGTCCTCCCTATGATTGCTCTTCCACTTGAGGGATATATTGCCGGTGTCAAATGTCAGAGCCCACCAGGACATTGCTAAGATTATTGCAGCAGCAGAATTCTACGCCAGCGCCACATTTAATGCAGTCAAATTCTCATCTAGAGCCATAGCATCTTACGTATCAGCACGGAGACTGCTATGGCTCAGATATTGGCAGGCAAATACCAAGCATAAATGCAAGCTGGCATCAGCCCCAATATTGGGGGATAAATTATTTGGCAGTGTCTTGGAGCCCCTCCTTATTGAGAATAGAAACAAGAAAAAAGTGCTTCCCCCTCTTTTTCAGAGGTCTGAAAACAGAAAGCCCCAGTCGTTTCGAAGGGGTTCCTTTCGGCCCTACTATCAAGGCCCATGCGTTCTCAAATCGCAAAGAACATCAGGCTACAGACCTAGATTTAGACAAGATAGGTCGGAATCTTCCAACAGAGGTCAGCAGGGAGACCAGAACAGAAGAAACCCCAGAGCTACCGGAGGCCAATTTTTTCATTGCCCCAAGTGAGTCCTTGACAGCAACTCCCATTGGAGGGCGGCTAAAATTATTTGCTGATCAATGGGACAGCTCCACCTCTGATGCGTGGGTCAGGGACTCTGTTAGGTTTGGTTTGGCGCTAGAGTTTCAATCCTCTCCTCCGAACTTTTTCATTAGGAGCCCTAGGTCCACAGACCCATTAAGAGAGCGTTGATGCCGGAGGCTATCAATCATCTTCTGCATATTCGAGCCATTAGAGAGGTCCCATCTGAACAACGGGGTCAAGGCTGTTACTCTCTATTGTTTGTGGTCCCAAAAAGTTCGGGGGGCTGGAGGGCAATTCTGGACCTCAAACATCTGAACAGATTCTGCTCAGCATCAGAGAGAATGATGTCCTGACCTCTATAGATCTGACAGAGGCTTATCTACATATACCAATTAGACCTGCTCACTACAAATACCTTAGATTTTGCTATTGAGATCAGCACTACAAATATATTGTCGTACCATTTGGTCTGGCTTCGGCCCCTAGGACTTTTACCAAGGTCCTAGCGGTTTTGGCTGCCTCCCTCAGGATCAAATCTATTCACTTACAATGTTATCTAGATGATATTTTAATGTTGTCATCTTCCAGACATCAAGCAAATTTGGATACCAAGATTACTTTGGAGACCCTTCAAGGTCACGGCTTTTCCATAAATTGGGATAAAGGCCATTTGATCCCTTCAACTAGGTTAGTTCATTTAGGGGCAGTGATAGATACTGTGGAGGGCAAGTTTTTTCTCTCTCAGGATAGGTTGAATAGTATCCAGTCTTTGGCCAGAGAGATCAGAGCCTTAAAGAGGGTTTCCCTGGCAGTTCTGTCTCAACTGTTAGGGAAACTGATTTCTTGTATTTCCATTGTACCTTGGGCTTGATTCCATTCTAGAGATCTGCAATGGTTCCTGTTACCTTTCCAGCGATCCGGAAAGCCACTTCCAACGTCCGGATAAAGGTACCGCACAATTTTCTCCAATCGCTCCGCTGGTAGTCCGAAAACACAATAAATAAAGGGTGTCCTTTCAAGGAACCTTGCAGGGCAAGGATCACAACCGACGCCAGCCTGGTAGGATGGGGAGCTCACTTCCAATCCCACACTGCACAGGGAATTTGGACTATTTCCAAACAATCACAAAGCATCAACCTGTTGAAGCTGTGAGCAGTTCATCTGGCGTTATGCAATTTTCTAGCCCTTTTCCAATCACGCCACGTTCTGGTCTTGACAGACAGTATCACAACCAAGGCCCACAGACAGGGGTACCCACTCCAAACTTCTGATGCTGGAGACGGCCAGATTGTTCAAGTGGGCTGAGGCCAATCTGTTGTCGTTCAAGGCAGAGCACATAGCAGGGGCCTTAAACACACAAGCGGACTGGCTCAGCAGGGCCACGAGAGATGAGAAAGAGTGGCGCCTACACCCGTCTGTCTTCCAGGAAGCAGTGTGGAGGTTTGGGCAACTGGTGATCGATCTATTTCCCTCTCCCTCAACGCCCAATTGCCCCAGTATATTTCAAGGTACCTGACTCGGGGCGGAAGCCGTCAACGCCCTGCGATGTCAGTGGCCTCCCGGACTCCTATATGCATTTCCTCCACTCCCTGTAATACCCAGGTTGATCCAGAAGTTATTGGAGGAATGAGCAGAACTGACCCAGGAACTGGCCCAGGTGATCGTGGTTCACGGACTTACAGGACCTGTCAAGGGAACAACCTTGGAAAATTCCACTGTTGAGGGTTTCCCTCTCGCAAGGGCCGGTACTTCACCTGGACCCACAATGGCTCAGCCTAGCCGTATGGAGGTTGAGCGGAACTGTTTAAGGACCCAACAGATTTCAGAGGAGGCCATTGCCACCATACAAGCATCCAGATGGTCCTCTACAAATCGTATATATGAGGCCATGTGGTCCGCTTTCTGTCGCTGGTGCTGGTGGCCTAAGATTGACCCAACCGCCCCATCAATAGGACAATTATTGGACTTTTTAAAGGAGGGGTTGACCAGGGGCCTATCTCCAAATACTTTACGCAGACAGGTGGCAGCCTTAGCCTCGGTGATATCCTGGGGTGACCTTCATTCCATAGCACACCATCCACATATCCGCAGCTTTCTTAAGGGTGCTGCAAACTTACGACCTCCTGTAATTCACCGCTATCCCACTTGGGAGCTCAACAAGGTGTTAACTACACTTACAACTGGCCCGTTTGAGCCTTTAAGAACCACTAGTCTCAAATTCCTGATATATAAGGTGGTCTTCTTAATTGCGATCACATCAGCAAGGAGGATTTCCGAGTTGGCAGCATTGCCAATGAGAAAGGACCTGTACGTGTTTCATGCAGACAGAGTGGTTCTCAGATTGGATCCGTCGTTCATCCCTAAAGTAAATTCAGCCTTCCACAGAGCACAGGAGTTGGTGCTTCCAAATTTTTGTCCAAAACCATCTCATAGACTGGAGCATCAATGGCATCGACTTGACGTTCAAAGGGCATTAAGCATCTATCTAAACCGCACGGTGGCATTTCAAAAATCTGAGGCTCTATTCCTATCCTTCAACCCATCCAATTTAGGACACAGGGTGTCGTTGACGACCATTGGTAGATGGTTGAGAGCCACCATAGCTAAAAGTTATGAATGCCAGTCCATCTCAGTTCCTAAGGGCATTACAGCCCACTCGACAAGGAGTGCGGCATGGGCCACTCGGGCTTCCATAGACAAAATCTGCAAAGCGGCGACTTGGGCTTCACCATTGCTCTTTGTCAGAAATTGTAAAATTGATGTCTACGCCTCAGCGGACGCTTCATTTGGCAGAAGAGTCCTGCAGAGGGTCCATAGAGTTTAGGAGTGGATTTTGATCCAGACGGAGTCCCTCCCTAAGGACAGGCCAAGCTTTGGTATGTCCCACTTCTGGATGCTCTGAACAGCTCATGAGAGAAAGGGCGTTGGTACTTACCTGATATGCCCATTCTCTGTGAGCTGTGAAGAGCATCCAGCCCCACCCATTTCTTTCCATCTGGTGGGGTTCTGTTCTGGTCAGGGATCTAGATTAGGTGATGAGTCCCGGACTTTGGCACTCAGTCTTCGCAAAACTGAGGGACGCTGAGGAGGTGTTCCATGGAGGAGGAGCGTCCTGGAGTTTTAAGCCCAGCCTTTCCTGAAGAGACTGAAGCACCTCCCACTTCTGGATGCTCTTCACAGCTCTCAGAGAACAGGCATATCAGGTAAGTACCAATGCCCTATCTTATTACAAAATTGCAATTCCCAGCATTCCTCATTCAACCATGCATGCTGGAGCTTCTGGAATCACAGTTCAATGATTCCAATGTTCATTGGTTCCCAACATTGTTTACCATAATGCAATATTAAAAACTCTTCATTTTTCTGGAAAGAATAGATTATCTTAAAAACAAAATGGCAGCATATTGCCATTTATAAAAATAAACATAGAATAAACAGAGTATCTTTCAATCAATCCTCTATGCTACAACAGCTCTGAAGATCCTTGTCCTCTTTTTCTTTACAGATTTATAATGAAAGAATATCGTTCTCCCCAGGTTTGATCTTCTACTCAAGGACCTACACAATTCTGAGCTTAACAAAATAGAATAAACAAATCAGTTGTAACTAGGCACAGAATGTAACTACAAACAGGAAGTGAATATTTAACAGGTTTGTTTTGCTCTTCAAAACAGCTTAGACTCTGAAGAGCTACATTATTTGGCAAATTTTTAAAAAGTGAATCAAGTTGTGTTTGATTTTTAATGTATTTTATAAACAATATGATATTTAACCTGCTGTAACAAAACATGTTGCCATTGGCCAACATGAAATCAAAATATTATAAGGTAAGAGGAGATAGATAGAATTAAAAAAACCATAATTGGAACAATCAGGAATATTAATTTTTTAAGCAATACTGAACTGGAGGTAGAAAGGCAAATTCTGAAAACTTTATAGAGATTATTTTTTATTTATGTCATGGTAAATGATGAAGGTAATTTCTATAGCCAAATAAAAAAAATTTCTTTATCTTATTACTATTTTAGCATTTTCTCAGTGATTTTTCCCTTCCCTTAGTTTTCTCAGCCTTGTTTTTAACTCTCATTCCTTTCTAAATTCAATTATATATCTTTTTCTAAGCTTCGATATCTTTCAAATCATTATATTTATATTTTTGTCTGCCTGTTTCAATTTCATATTATCTTTTCTCATTAAACAAATTTTCCCCTGTAGTTACTGATTGGAGTATGACACCTTTATATCTTTTAGTTTTTCTCCATTCAAATATTATTTAAACTTCAATTTATACTTTTACAATTATGACATTCAATATCTAAAAAATATTTCTGAGATCACATTTATTTTGATATAGTTCAGAAAAAAACAGAAAAACATATAAGAGTTGTGGTGGTGCAGTGGTTAGAATGCGGTATTGCAAGCTAATTCTACTGACTGCCAGGGGTTTGATCCTCACTGCTCAAGGTTGACTCAGCCTTCCATCCTTATGAGGTCAGTAAAATGAGGACCAGAGGTGGTTTTCAGCAGGTTCTGACCAGTTCTGGAGAACCGGTAACTGAAATTTTGAGTAGTTCAGAGAACCAGAGCGGAAATTTTGAGTAGTTTGGAGAACTGGCAAATGACTGACCCCACCTTCATCTATTCTGTACCTCCTGAGTCCCAGCTGATTGGCTGGGTCTTCTTTTATTGCCCTGCACAGGAGAATGGAGCTAGAAAGCAGGTTAGTAGGGTGGGGAGGGAATGGGATTTTGCAGAATGGAGATTTTACCATATCCTTCATGCCCACCAAGCCACACCCACAGAACTGGTAGTAAAACATTTTGAATCCCACCATTGATCAGGACCCAGATTGTTGGGGGCAATATGCTGACTCTGTAAACTGCTTGGAGAGGGCTGTAAAGCATTGTCAATGGTATGTAAGTCTTAAGTGGTATTGCTATAAAACACATGCAAAATAATATCTTTCATGGGCCTTGAGGAAATCATATATATATATATA